TTTCAACCACATTACATTATACACCTGATAGTTTTGTTCTCCTTTATTTACTGATGGGCTAAATTTGAAATTTCAAAGGATTAATTACTCCTACTTAGAAAATGTAACATGAAATTGAACAATTTGAGCAACTTTTATAAATAAGTTTAGGGAAATGAAAACATTTTCAATGTAGAGATAAGAAAGAAATGTACGTTACCTATATTCTTCCAGTAAGAATATATATTAAGTGAAAATATGAGACGACTCTGAATAAGCAACCCCTTGTATCCTGTAAACTGACAAAGACGTTTTGCTTAACAAATTAAAAATTATTTTTTACTGAAAAGTGATATTTGAAATGTACGTTACTGAAATGTATGTTACCATGAAATTCGAATTAAGTGAATCTCGCACGAATTTTCATGTATTCTCATACTTTCACACACTCGAATGTGTACACAAAGGAAAGTTTCAAAGGTTAGGCGGCTAAATCCCAAAATTAATGAAAAAAAGTTTTGCTGAGGAAAAAAATATATTAAGGTCAATTATATGTAATATTATTTTGATACCTGGTATATATTTTTGAATACGAAACCTGTATGATGCATTTCTTATGATATGCAAGTTCAAATAGTATCAATATACTGTTTAACGTACGCTTGTGGAAGAGAACTATTTTTAAAAATGTACGTTACGTATGGTAACGTACATTTTCGCTTTCTGACATTTTTTTTTTTTACAATAATTGCGTTTAAACCTAGAAAAAAGTTATCGTTACAATCCATTTGACAACTGCCACATAAATCCATCTAAATGCACCCCAATCCTCGTAAATGGGTAATTATTACCACATGCTAGAAAATTTATTTCTAAGTGTCTTAAATTCATCTTTAATAGCAACCTTTTTGTAGTTTGTTTAATTTTAATATGCGACTTTTCGTCAATATTAATTTAATTGTTGATAATTTAAAACAAGGTCTGCATAGGCTTATAATTGGTAAAAAAAACAAAACAAAAAAAAAAAAAAACAAAACAAATAAACCCAGAAAAAAACTGCCACGTACATTTCAAAACTAAAGGCACAACACTCAGTTTTATTTGAATCATTGCATTTTGGGTTATATTTTTCCAGTTGCTGAAAAGTACGTATTTTTGTGTTTTGACAAACGATGTTGCAACATACTAAATGTATGAAATGAAATTGTTACCAAGATTGATGGATATATTCGGAATAGATTTATGTTAAGTTTCAATGGCCAAACAAAGAATTTGTTGATATAGAAAAATACGTCTACTTTTTTGTTATACCCTTGAACACACGTAGAAGTAACTATTTTAGGCTACGACCGGTGTCAATTTCAGCGAAACAGCACAAAAGATTGGTAATGAACTGAGAGGGAGGGGACTCCCCAAAATATGTGAAATGAAGTTACCGAAGTGACGTGACATTCATGTAGTTGATGACAAATAACCACGTTTGTTACATTATGATTTCTTATATTATCGTTAAAACGCTTCATTGAAATGATTTTTATGTCAACAATTGCTTTTTTTCAATATTTTTTCTTATTACAAATTTACAATTATTACAAGCTTGAAATTGTTCGTTACCTACTCATATTCTGAGGCAATCGTGTCTTTATAGTGGTGATTGTGACATATAACACAATGTGATTACACAGAATCTTTTTAGGAAAAACTAAAAAAAGATGAATTTTTTAAAATTTTAAATTTTTATTAAAAAGAAAAAATCTTGAAATGTACGTTACATTTACGTAGGGCTAAATCGGCATGGATATATGTTTAAAAAGACAGTAACTACAAAATATAATTTTACTACATGCATTTTGTTCCACTATCTATAAAAAATTTCAGGATTCCAAACTGATCGCTCTAAACAAAACAGAGAGAAGAATTTAAAGCAAAATTTAAAAAAAAAAATTTTTACATCTGGATCAAAAAGTAACCTTTGTTTTTTGAAAGGAAAAATAAACGCACTTTTAATCCAGAAAAAATGTTGCTGACAGAGTTGGTAGATGTGCTGGTGTTAGATTGGGGATCTTCAATTGTGATTTTAATGACTACATTTTTTTGACATATCTTTTTGGACATTGAAGAAAGAGTAACGTACATTTCAAGCTACATTCCTGAATAAAATCACCCTCTACATTACCGTCTTGTCATTATTCCATGTATTAAAATTCAATAAAAAAACCTGGAAACAAAATCTTCGAATACTTTCTTTCAAAGGTAATTGATAGAAAAATTGTTATCTTGAACTTCATTTTTTAAAAAATCAGAGAGACGCTGTTGCCCTTATATTGAGAATGGGTGAATACCTGTATTTGTATATCACACGTATCCTTTTAATACCTGTATTTGTATCTCACATGTATCCTATTAATACCTGTATTTGTATCTCATATGTGGCCTATTAATACCTGTAATTGTATCTCATATTTGGCCTATTATTACCAGTATTTGTATCTCACACGTATCCTATTAATACCTGAATGTATGCAGAAAATGATTCAAATACTTTTTTCAGCTATCCCCTTAGATTGTAAGGAGCTTTATGAAGATAGCAAGGCTTGTTCTGGGGTGTATAATACCTATTAATACCTGCATGTATGCAGAAAATGATTCAAATACTTTTTTTCAGCTATCCCCTTAGATTGTAAGGAGCTTTATGAAGATAGCAAGGCTTGTTCTGGGGTGTATAACATCTATCCCTATGGAACCATTACTAGTCCTGTCCGTGTGTACTGCGATATGACGACAATGGGCGGGGGATGGACGGTATGTAGTTCATTTCAGATTTAGAAGCACATAAAATAACTCACATTCCTTTTTCTTGTTGTTTAAAGAGTTGAGTTGTACAATTTAATAATAAATTTGAATATTTTAGTCTATATCATAAAACGTTGTTCCTTCGATTGTTCGAAACAGTGAATTGTATTGTTATAATTGTTAATTTTTAAAGGCTATTCAAAAACTAGTTAACGGATCCCTCAGTTTTGACGGGTATTGGTCAGCATATAAAAATGGCTTCAGTTCACCAGAACAAGATGTCTGGGTTGGTAAGTGTATATACTTTCAAACTGGGACTTCCAGCTAATTTAAAATAGACAGAAGTTCTTCATTACTGCAGATAAATAATCGATAGCGTATCAAAGATGTTTTTTTTAACTTGGTAATACGTTTTTGACAATTCTCAATTATCGTTTCTGTTATTTCCCGATCATGACAAGGAGCACACGGCGGTGACCGGTCAGCAGGGGATGCTCACTCCTCCATGGTATCTGACCTTTCCTCTGAGGTTTTAGAGGTCCCTGTTTGCTCTGCTCCTATTTTGTATTGTTTATGGACTTTGATATTTAATACTTTTAGTTATCTCCATATCCTTTATTGAAAACTTAAAATAAAAAATCAGCAAAAAGATTGAATCACTCAGCTGGAGGGTCTTTAAAGACAACAAATTTTACATCAATATTTACGTCTTAAAAATAATTTTGATCTTTCATAAATGAATATTTGTATTTGAAATAAAATTATTTTATATTGCAATGGACTTTACACTTGATTTAAAATATATCTTAATACAGGAAATGACTTTATCCATCTGTTAACAAAAGAAAACTCGGCCCTGTATGTGTCCATTACTCTCCAGAATGGTACAACGCTTTATGAAATGCTGTCTCCAACGAGGCAGGAAAATATAAACTCTTTCTTGCAGGACCTGCCACGTGAACTTTAGGTAAGTGTATGCAACTTAAATTCTAAAAAAGAAATCATGTATCTTTTAATTGAAAGATTAAGTTGTTGTTTATAAAGTTAAAATAAAATAGTGTTTCTCTTATATTCTGTAAACCTTCCATGTTAATACAACGTTTAAATATATCACGATATCGTATGTACAATTCACAATTTTTATCAAACATATTACGTCGTTAGTATTAACACTAAGTTTTAAAAAACGTTGTACCGAGCTATAAAGAGCTGATGGTGAAGAGATAACGTTCTCTTTCTAATGTGAACATTAAGTGTATGTTGCGTTACAGTTCAGTAAATTGTAAAGAGATACATCACTTCTTATCTCGTCATGATTCCTGCATAATTACATTTTATTAATTTTAAAGGCACAGTTTCACCAAATCCTTTTTCACATATTCATTTCACAGTGACCTTAATTAAAATCAATCATTTCCTTTTCTTAGTCAAACTTTAAAGTGAAACAAACAAAGTTTATTGATATATTAGAAAAGAATCTAAATGAATTACATAATGTATTGTTGTATTGAATTCTTAAGAAGATATTATCGCCTTTTCCAGCACCTAAAGCCTTCTATTTTAGAAGTACCTCAGTATTATGAATGTCAATTAGATTGCAGATATATAAATCCATTATTTCTGTGATTCCTTTTGTTTAATTTTACAGGAGACTGTATGTTAAATACAGGCTATATTTACTGGGACCTGTCTGGGATGTACTTAGTACTTCTTTACCCTAGACAGGCATTACAACGGATATGTTAGTAATTGTGCTGTTGCTCACGGAGGAGGGTGGTGGTTCAACTCCTGTCACGCTGCCTTCCTTAACGGTCTCTGGTCCCCGGGGTACTGGGGCAGCCCATGGAATCCCCCAGTAATGAGTGGGACGTCAGTGAAGGGGACCACCATGATGATCAGACGTCACTAGGTAAACATCATTAAATCCTAATATAACAGATTTTTTTTTCTTTTTGTATTACTGTGAAAATTTCAAATGGTTATAAGAGGTTTTTCAAAGTAAAATATATGTTTTTATTTCTCTGAAACATTAATTTGATTATTTTCTTTAACAGACAAAAAAATCATCATCAATGAGACGAATCCATTTAGATTCAAGAAACGGTATTAAATTTAACATTTATTACGGGGTTCTTTTTTTGTAAGATTGTTTGACATCAAGTGACTTAACAAATATATTTTCAGTAAAGGGTAGATGAAGGATTATGTAAAGCAATAAATTAATGTAATTTTGTTCTATTAAATGTATTCAGTAAAATACGTACTTTATATGTGTTGTAATAAATTTGAAATTAGAAATATTTCGTAGTTATTTACAATCACTGATAAATGAAGATGTTTGGACGGATAATTAGGATGTAGATTGCTTTATTGTTAAGCCTATTACAGTGGAACTTGTTTAATCCGACAGATTGCAATACGTTTTGCTGTGGAGTCCGCCATTCCATTTCATTTCTCATATTTACTTATATCAATGATCTTTACACGCAGCAATACTACACCGTATTTATTTCGACAAATACATTTGTAATCTGCCCCGTGTATGTCGGATAAGACAGGTTTCATTGTATTGAGGATTTTAAGATATTTATCTAAAAAGTTATAAGGTATATTTGATGGTCATGTGTTGTAGTACAATACATCTTAAATTATACTTCTCTGATAACATATCCCCATCTTTTTTCCATCCACACAGTATTTTGAATGGATTGAGCATTTATTATCCATTAAGCTACTTAAAACCGCTTAAATTGAAATTATTGTTGTTTTTTAATATTATGGAGAAAATAAGCTAAATGGTGAGACCTACTGAATATTTCTTTCCACAAATCTAATTATACCATAAATATATTTAGATAGCTTGAAATTTAGGTGTGGTAAGAAACGCAATGATACTAGATTCTCAATGACAGGTTATAAGCTTAAAGTAAAAAAAATCTTATTTTCTGAAGATCGGTATCTTTAATTGCTACAAATTATCAATTAAAAAAGAAATAAAAAATAGGTTTTTCTGCTCTTTAATGCACAAGATACGTTAAAAAAGACATATCGATACTTATTTTTATTTTTAATTTCAAAACACCATAACACAGATCTTGGGTCAAAAGGTTAAATGTGTAATGTGCGTTTTATTCTGACGTCATAAGCATTAAATGCCATGCAAGAGCAATGTCATTAACGAAAATATAAAATTGAAATCATTTCAATTCATTTATTTATTTAGGTTAAAGATAATTCAAGTAAGTTAGAAAAAAATCAAATATGCGAAAGAAGACAAGGAGTTAAAAAAAAACTATTTTTTGAAAGATGTTATCTTATATCTGCAATTGTCTTTGCAAATAAAACATAGCGAGCTAACATTAATCAATATGTTTGCAATAACTTTGCTATTATGAGACTAAATCTTTAAAACAAAATGTTCAATGCTTGAATAATGACACAACTAAACAGCGAGTGTTAAGACAAGTCATTCTCTATTATGCAACGTGTAGACTTTGCTTAATTTATAGATTTTTTTTATATAAATATATTATTAATATAATAATTTGATAGAATACAACTTGGAATTTGTTGTTAAATCAATAGAAAAAGTTTTAGGAGATAATGATAAAAATTCAAGATAATTTTGTGAAACAAATCAGCGTAAGATGAATGTTGCCGTTTGCAGGTCAAGCACCAAGGTCAAGAGGAAATTAGTTTTGGTACCAAACGAAAAGTTTCTCACAATGAGTCCACCTTCGAAAAATGATAATTATGAAAGCAACAACAGTTTAGTAATTATGACCAAAGTTAGAGATTTACAAAAGTAGTTCAAACTGGACAAGGTCAAGTTTTCAATATAAATAATACATAAAAAGAATTTCACAAATAATACACAGGTGAAATATAAAAGAGTCACAGAATCAGCCATTCAAAAGTCCTGACCACAGTTTTTCAAAGTATGGGGTCCAAGTATAAGGATTAAAATTGTTTGAAGTCAAAGGTCATTTCAAGTTCAATGTTAAAGGTCATTGCGGCTGGTAGTCAATAGAATGTCTCGTCAAAATAATGATTATGAGGATGTATATATATATATATATATATATATATATATATATATATATATATATATATATATATATATATATATATATATATATATATATATATATATATATATATAACCTTAGAGAGGGGGGGTTCAAATTTCTTATAATGCTTAAAACCTCTAAATCAGCTGATGAGTCACTGCCTGTTTACGTAAGATGCTAGCGATCAGGGGAAGAAATGTGTATTTACAATCTGTGCTCCTGAGCCTTTGTAAATTCTATAAACAAATATGAAATCAAATACCTTAAAATTTATGTTAAAAAAGAACGAAAAAAACGATGTCCGTAGTCTTCACATAGCAGTTCCTATCGTCAAGTAAGAGTTATCTCCTTTGATACTACAAACTCTCGAATCAAACACTAAACGAATGAAATATATATACATTAAAAAATATCATGTATAAAACAATTACTTTATAAAAGTAATACACTAAGTATCAAATATTGTAATAAGAAATTAGAGAAACAACACGGCGGGCGTTAGATTTTCTTGACAAGCGTGCTCCACGCTGTATGCAAACTTTAAAACGATTAAAAGCTCTATTCTGGTTTTTTTTTTCAAATTATTTTTGTTTCCTTAAACATCAACTACAAGGTCTGCAAGAGTAATACATCAAACAAACAAAAAAAAAAAATATTTCAATAAGTAACACGACAGGCGTATAGACTCTCTCGGCAGGCGTATTATCCCCTGGGAGACGTTGGCAGGCGTATATAAGTATGACTGTAAATTGTTCGATCAGCCCCAAAGAGAAGGTGAATCACCGGGCTTTTTATAAACCGAAACCTTCCTTTCCTCACGATGTGTCGTCAATCGCATCATCCCGGGTCTTTCCGTCAGAGGTCGGAAAAACGAACTCGAATGTATTAACATCGACGGATGTTGAAAATTTATACATTTCCTGTTTATTCAAATATAGGATAGATGGAGTTAGAAGTCCCTTCTATGGTATATTTTAAGTAATATCATTACATTGAATAAAGTTAAACTCCATATTCTACAGCTGAAAGGTCTCCATGAATTTATTTCAAAGATCGTGAAAAGGGAAAGTTGTCATGGCGTCTACCATGTACATTCGAGGACGTTTTTCCGCTAGTCGGAAAGGTCCGAAAAGTTGCGATTGGATGTGTTGTGTACATCTTGGACGCGCATGTGCGGGAAAGTGACTTCCTTGTTTTTTTAGTAGCGAAAGAAGAAATGCGGAAGTAAATATATAGTCGTACTCTACCATGTTCATTCGAGGTCGTTTTTCCGCTAGTCGGAAATGCCCGAGAAGTTGCAATTGGATGTGTTGTGTACATCTTGGACGCGCATGTGCGGGAAAGTGACTTCCTTGTTTTTTTAGTAGCGAAAGAAGAAATGCGAAAGTAAAAAGTCGAGTTATAGTCTGAGAAGAATTTGTTGATTTTCTTTTTCTGTGTGACATTCACTCACACTACTATTGCATTGTGTCAACCTTCCATTACATTATGTCAACTCTTTATAACATGAACTTACACTACCACTGCATTGTGTCAACCTTCCATTACATTATGCCAACTCTTTATGACATTAACCCACACTACCCTTGCATTGTGTCAACTTTCCTTTACATTATGTCAACACTTTACACGATTCCTTGATAATTCATAGAAAAAACTTTCACATCCCAATTACATAAGAAATGTTCATTATAAACATCATAAAATTTTTTATTATTTTTGCGCATTTTCTATTATAAAAATCATGTAAAAAATATAAAAAATATTATTTAACATTTTGAATAATGCACTGTGTACAGTAATTAAAGCGGTTTATAAAAAAGCATAAACTGCCCCAAGTTAAATATATATCGTATAACATAAGTTGAAATAAGCTTCATTCCTTTTAATTTAATTT